CTAAGACTATTCTTCTGATATACATCTCATTCTGAACGGCCACGGCCACTAAGTATCCTTCCTTTGTAAGTGGTGATTTTGAAGTAGTGCGAATTAAGGAGTATAGATAACATATGGTCTCTAGTTTAGTACTGTGCTTCTCTTGAAATGTGATTTAGGTTATCCGACCTCAAAATTGATAGTCTTTGAGTAAACGATTTCACACATTGTCGCATGTACGGCCGAGGTAATACATATGATGCTGTACCACTTTCATATATTTTACCCTCAATTCTTCTCATCGATTAGACACATGTATGATCTAATTCGATTCAATCTGTTGAATTTTTGGGGTAGCCCTATCGAATTGCGAGGACTATGGGCCTCAAGCTGCTCTTTCTTTGAATCATACACAAAAATTTTGTTTGAATGTGGGGACCGCTTTCTAACAGAAGAATAAACATTAAATTGGAAACTAGCAAAGTTTGAAACTGATAGTGGGACCAGTTTTCGCTTCGCTCTGAGAACTCTAGGGTTGAACTGCATCTTTACTGCAATTGTGTTATTTTTCCTTGTATTTCAAGGCTTTATCTTTGAGAATTCGATCACGCAAAACCGACCGAACGCATTAAATAACGATTTTGACTTCTTTACAATCCGAAATTGAAGACTCTCCTCGTGTCCTTTAGGTGAGAAGCGTCTTCGACAGGGCATGGTTGTCGGTCCTACTATGAACACCTCAACAAAATTCAGCGATAATTACGAAGTTAAGGAAGAACTTGGGAAGTTAGTTAAATTCAACATAACACGTTATAGGGAATTTCGCTTTTCTTTGACAACTTTTATATGGAGATGGTTATAGATGAGTTTTTTTTTATTCATTCAGAGGAGCATTTTCTGTGGTTCGACGGTGTGTACACAAGGCGACAGCGGCTGAATATGCCGCAAAGATTATTAATACGAAGAAGCTGTCCGCAAGGGATTTCCAGAAATTAGAACGAGAAGCTCGTATTTGCAGAAAGCTGCAGCATCCTAATATAGGTGAGACACTATTGCTACAATTTTTATTAATAATAATTGGGAGTTCAGTTAAGTGGGGATGTGTTTCATAAAGGATCATTCTTTTCAATGAGGTCAAATTTGAAGTATTCTAAGTTGCCAATATGAGGAAAGGAAAGTAAGTGGCTGGGAACCTGGAACCCAGGGAACAATATTGGAATGAATTTGGAACATTTAATACATTCTTTGTCTTTAGCGTTTTTTTTT